AAAAAAGGGGGGGGGGGGGGGGGGGGGGGGGATTAAGAGGAGAGGAGAGAAGAAACGAGAGCAGCACAGATTAGAGGAGAGTGAAAGGAAGGGGAAGGAAGGAGAGGAGGCGTACTATTAGAAACAATGCTGCTCTTGATAAGTCTTGACTAAACAGTTCAGCCATAATTAGATTTGTGTATGTGAAGTCACATGTGATATTTACAGTTATCACACTCCATGCTGCAGATTTAATTAAAACTTGTTCCTTGTGTGAAATGCATAACGGCCCCGGAAAATCACATTACTCTGAAATACTTGTTTTGATGTAAATAATGACTCAGCCACCAAAACGTCGTCTGTAATTATTTTTTTTTTACTGCCTTGTCCCACGAGGAGCAGAAAATGTATTTTATTTGTACCCAGAGGACGCGGTGAAGATAAACCACAAATGTATCAACCCCATTGTATCACTACATAGGCTGGAAATGCTACAGATGAATTCTGGTTCATTGAAGAGCAGACTCTTCCTCACAAAGGAATTCTTCTACTTCTACTTACTTCCTGTACACCACCTATTAAAGAGAAACTCTGCTTTTGCTAAAACAAAATGAGATAACATATGTATCTGTACACAAAGCGTTTTGTATATTATGTTATTAATAATTACCTTTTAATAGGGATGTTCAGATACTAAGTACGTACTCAGTACAAGTACATATACTTCTCCAGCTCCAAGACTAGACTAGAGAAAAATACATAAGTTGGAGGCAGCTGTCATTTGTAAGGAGCACACAGAGCTCCCGGGATTTGTACATCTCTGTTGTAATTTATGATTTTGTTTTAAATAAATATATATTAGGGATGCACCGATACCATTTTTTCAAGTACAAGTACTGATACTCACCCAAGTCCTCACAGGTACAAGTACTGATACTCACCCAAGTCCTCACAGATACAAGTACTGATACATTTTTGTTTATTGTCATGTGACAGTTTTTCGAAAACAATACAGAGGAATGATTTCAGGACAGTGGTGGAGAGCCAGAGCCAGGTCCCAGCTGCAACCGCTGCAACCCTGGTAGTTCTCAAAAAAATGCCAAGTATCCGCACTGGTATCTGAACTCGTATCTTGACATCCCTACTATTTAATTTATTATTATGGCTACAATATTGAAATATTTGGATGTTGGTAATGATGTGGTAATTCCATTTCCTGTTTGTATGTTTGTCTTCTTGCTTTTTATCAGCTCCTTTTGTATGCGGATGAATATCAATATAAAATATACACCGATCAGCCATAACATTATGACCATCCGACTAATATTGAGTAGGTCCCCCGTTTCCTGACCTGTTAAGGCATGGGCCCCACTAGACCTCTAAGGACAAGCTGTGGTATCTGGCACCAAGCCACCAGTAGCAGATCCTTTAAGTCCTGTAAGTTGTGAGGTGCGGCCTCCATGGATCAGACTTGTTTTTTCAGCACATCCCACAGATGCTTGATTGGATTGAGATCTGGAGAATTTGGAGGCCAAGTCAACACCTTAAACTGGTTGTTGTGTTCCTCAAACCATTCTTAACCATTTTTGCACTGTGGCAGGGCACATTATCCTGCTGAAAGAGGCCACTGCCATCAGGGAATACCATTTCCATGAAGGGGTGTACTTGGTCAGGAACAATGTTTAGGTCGGTGGTAAGTGTCCAAGTAACATCCACATGATTGGCGGGAAGCAAGGTTTCCAAGCAGAGCATTGCCCAATGCATCACACTGCCGGCTCGGCTTGCCTTCTTCCCACAGTGGCAAAGTTATGGCTGATCGGTGTATGGTTAATTCTTTGAACAACCTGACTTCTCAGGTGGGGACAATGAAGGAAGACCCTTCCACTTTCCACCAGTTTGGTAGAAATTCTGGCTACACCATTATCTAAACTAGTGATGAACGAATCTGCCCAGGGTCGATTTGCCAAACGTTGGGCACATTTTGGAGAGCAGAACTTAAAGGCAAATCCCACTGAAGTCTACAGGGGGCAGATCTTGTTAAATTCTGGCCATACCTAGGGGTAATAGGAAAAAAAGGCCATAGGAAAAAGGGCATTGTCATGGGAGACATATACTGTATGTATATATACTGTACAATAGGGAGCGGGTCTTTTCATGCAGCTTTAAATCAAAGGCAATGTTAGAGAAACACAAACCCCTAAATAACATGTTTGGGGGATGCCTAAAATCTGTACATGATGTTTTTGAACAGCACCATTTTCACGGACAGTCTTAGCGTACAGTGGCAGTGCATATTTGGCCGTGGAATTGACTGGATGGGGGAATTGATTGATTTGTCACATTTAACCTGTGGGACTGATTGAGAGAAATCCTAACGTGTTTGGCCAACCTTGGCATGGAACCCCCCTCACAAAATTATGAACAGGAAAGCTTTTGATTGCATACTGTTCTTACCTACTTGCTTGCAATCTTCCCAACAATGAACATGTCTGGCTCAATGTACAATTTCAGCATATCAACTCCCATGCATGCGTAGGAGTTACATCATCCGGGCACAGCCAATTAAGGTGGCTGAAGATCAGGGCTGTCCCTTCAATGAGACAGCCTGAGGCTGTTGCCTCAGGTGGCATCTCTTTGGGTCACATGACAAAGGGGACAATGTTTTCAGTGTGTCTGCTGCCCCCCTTCTGGCCAAACCCTCTCAGGTTGCTAAGAATCAGGCGGGAAGATTTGTAAGGGCCATACACATCTCCACACCCAGCTTTTAGCAACCAGGGACACTATGGCCCGTGTCCCGCTCAGCTCCGAGCAACCAGTGACATCATTGGGCAGGACGCCAACTAGAGCTGCAGCCAGAGCTGGGCGGTGAGATGCGGAACCTGCAGAGGGTGGCATCACTCTCATGTCTGGCAGCACTGTCTCCTCCACTCACCTCTCGCTAGTCCACCAGCAGCGCACCCTTCCCAGAAAAAAAGGCTACGGACACACCTGCTGAAGATGCCAAACCCAGAGAAAGACCAGGCAAAGATGTCAGCAATGATGAGAGAGCTTGCATGGGAGGCGAGTTGGATGGGAGGGGAGTGTAGTTTCATCTTAACTTTTCCTGTGGAGCATGTATCTGTCCCTTTCCACCTCATTTGCCTCTCTATTTAGCATCACAGATGCCCTTATTGACCAATGAGGAAGCTCGGGAGGTGATAAGGACAGGACAAGTACCATTTTTAAAGCTAAACTCTGGGATTAGTAAACATTGTCTTAATCCAAGAGTCATGTGTATTCTTCCTTGAACCTTGGCTTGCTTTGTGTATTTCCTCCAGATCTGAGCAGTAATCCCATGTGACACTTGAAGCTTGCTGTAATAAAGACCGGTCACTGCTGCTCTCTCTTCTTGTGCAGGGTGACTGGTCTTGTCTCCGCCCCCTCCTGTAATAAAGACCGGTCAACGCTGCTCTCTCTCCTTGTGCAGGGTGACTGGTCTTGTCTCTGCCTTTCCTGTAATAAATACCGGTCACCACTGCTCTCTCTCTCCTTGTGTAGGGTGACTGGTCTTGTCTCCGCCCCCTCCTGTAATAAAGACTTGTCAACGCTGCTCTCTTTCCTTGTGTAGGGTGACTGGTCTGGTCTCCGCCCCTCCTGTAGTTTTCTGTAGTGGGTGGGGCCTGCTGAGCCCCTCCCACAGCTCTGCTCTCTGCACAGGCTATGCACAGCACAGTGATGATATCTCCACTACTGGTACAAGGTAATACATTGGGATTTAGTGCACACAAAGTGGATTTATATAATTTGTTACTATTGAAAGATATATTTAAATTTAAAAAAAATGCCCTGCCCGAGGTTCAGCATTAAGAGGCCAGGGACAATTTCACTGCAGAGCTGTGTACAGCTCAGGACAGGATGGACAGGTAATAAAACCCAGTGACAGGTAAAGCATCTCCCTCATATGCATTTTATATTTATTTTTCCAGTTTTGCTGTTTGCTTGGAGTTCAGCTTTGTGCTTTTTTTCCTTAGAGTTCCTTCTTATAAGGGAAGTCTGGACGAAAAGTCATTCTTTTTATGAAATGGATGTTCCCGTTTAATTTCGTCTTGGCTGGATGTCAGCCGAAGCAACATCTGTTCCCGTGGTCTAGATCCCGATTCGAAGCAGATGAGGTAACCCAATGGAAGAGCTGACATTGCACACTGTACGCGGTGCGTAAATCGCAGAGCTGTGAATCACGCCCTCACGAGTGAAATACACAATGTTCTCTTCGCTCCCTGAGTCATAGCGAGCTGTGTGCCGCGTCCTCTAGAAAGCCGAATACATGGAAAGGAGAAAAAAAAAATATTGATCAGGTGGATTATTCCAAGTGTGCCTCTCCGATAAAGACACGCGCTAATTCGGTTAAATAAAATCCTGCGGTGGTATAGGCCGCATATTCCTTTCTAATTACCAGCCTGTGATCAGCTATCCGGGACCGGCCGCTAAAAATAGGCCCTCCGGCTAATTGGAGTTTAATTGTTGCCTATTCAACATTTTCCTGACATTCAGGGGCAATCAGACACCATTGTCATATTCCGCCGCGGTAAAGGGAGACGGATCGTGCTCAGAACTGCGTGGGGGGGCAGATAATGGCTATTTTCTGCGTACTGCCTCTAATTACTGTGTTGCATAATAACAAGAATTGAAGGTGAGATGATTCACATGAAATGATTGAGATCACCGACGTCGTATGGAAGGGTGGCGAGGAGAGATAATGGCGCAGCACATGACATGAGGTCGTGGGAAGAAGTTGTACACCAAGTGATGGGGGGTAGGGGGATGGGTGGCGATCTGGCCCAGAATATGGGTGTAACATGAAAGATGGTCAGAAAAGTAAACTAGGCCTATGAAGCAGAACTCTGGGCACAAATGTTATTAACCCTCGCAGGGGTGCTACCTCGGCACTGCGAGGGTTAAGTGCTCATTTTTGTCTAGATGCTGAAAGAAAAAAGTTATACTGACCCGATCCTCTGAGCAAACCATCTCTGCCACTTGTCTCCCCTGCTGCAGCGATGGTATGTCCCTCGGCATCCTCACGTCCTGTACCCTGTGCATAGAACGTGATGACTCAGGGCTTAAACCGCTGCAGCGGAGGGGGAGAGAGGCTCCAGGGACCGGTCTAACAGCAAGCCAGCTCGAAGGATCAGGTGAGTATAACTTTTTTATTTTAGCACCTAAACCAAAACGATCATTTAACCCGTGCAGTGCCGAGGTAGCTCCACTGAGAGGGTTGAGAAAAGTTTGCCTAGAGTTCTTCTTTAAAGTGACATTTAAGTCAAAGTTTTTTTCCCCCTTCCCAATCCTGCTGTAGGGACTTACCTTAAATGATGTCTCCTAATCCGATCATCTTCTTCTTTCCTGTCCTTTGCAGCTGTCCCTCCAGCGCTGGGTGCGGGTCTCCGATCCAGCGCTGACTCCTCTCCTCTCCTCTGACCCACGGTGTCTGTGCGGGTGCACGCTGCTCCATAGACTTACCTTGTGTCTCTCCTCGTCTCCCGGCCGAACATCGGAACTGCGCATGCGCCCGCCCCAAGATCCTTTGCAGCCGCCAGAGACTCTTCAGATGTTCGGACGGGAGCGCGCGGCAAAGACACAGGTGAGTTTAAACCCCTTTTAGGTTTTTTTAAATGTTTTTGCATATATCTACTGCTTGCTTGCAATAGGTATATGCAAAAACACGCAAGGGTTTAATAACACTTTAATGATGCTGCTAAATGGGCTGCCTTAATGCAGAACACCCTTAATGCAGGACAATGCGTCTCCTGAATGGAACCTAAAAGGGTGGATGCAGAGCCCAATCTTTATTTATTTCTTTTTTAGGTGTTGTCCCGTTGGGGAGGTTTCCCTTCATTTCCTGTCCCAGCGACACAATAGGACGTTGGGGGGAGGAGGGGGGGGGGTGGTATTACCTTGGATATCTTAAAAATT